ACCAAGCTGAAACTAGACAAATTCAAATTAGAAATAAGACACAGTTTTAGCAATGAGGATGATTAACCATTCGAAGAAACTAGCAAGGGAAGTTGTCAATTCTCTATCTCTTGATGTCTTCATATCAAGATGGAATGCCGTTCTGAATATCTGCTTTAATCAAACATACAAATTATTGGGCTCAATACCAGGGTAACTGGGTGAAATTTAGTGGCCTGTGATATACAGGAGTTGAAACTAGATGATCTACTGATCCCTTTTGGCCTTCAACTCCATAAAACTGTGAAGAACATGTCTGGTGCAGGCCTACTCAACCTTGTAGGATGAAAAAGTCAGTTTATCATAGAGAGTAGAGATTTTTACTTTATTGTTGTTCATTTTTTTTACAGTAGTGCTAAGATATAATGGTCCTTGCCTTGTAGAGCTGATAATCTTTTGTTGTCTTCTTCAGCACCAACAAAATTACATAAGAGTAAAATCATTACAACTGCATTTTCTGTGTTTCAGAAAATCAAGAGACTGAAAATACCAATTTCTAGTGCTATGCTCTTGAGATCTTTTCAGAATTGTTATCATTTCCCATGCACCATAAGTCTTAATGCATTTGCTAACCATTGTTTTTCTCTCTTGGACAAGTTACAGCCTGCTGATAATTTAAGTTACACCAAATATAGCGTATTTTTTCTCTCTCAAACAACCTAAACCAAAATGTAATTCATCTTCAGTTACTGCTTGGTGCACCATGGAAAAATATGTAATGACAGGGAAGGAAAAAACAGCTTAAAACAGATGGAAAATAGGGAGACACAACTGATTTCATTTGAGCAAAAGAAGATGAATGCTGTTCTCTGAATATAAATAGCACAGACATCTTCCAAAAAGCCCATTGTGTGAATTAGAAAGTCCCTGAGCAAATATGGTAAAGTTGACTGCTACAGTTGCAGTATCTGTCACTAACAATGCATTTTAAAATAATCTTTTCATAAACCTGTTATGTACAAGAACTATATTTCGTCAGACATTACACTTGACTTTTTATCTTTCCCCATCTCTACTTTTTTTGTACATAGCTATCTTTTTGGGGGATAAGTAGTAAGAAAAATCACAGTGCCCTCTTGAGTTTGTGCTGAACCATGTCCAGCTTTGTCTTCCTTGTCATAGTTTTCTATGCACGTGTTACCACCATGTTGTACTATTGTAATGCATACTACTTTGAAAACCACTAGGACGCTTCAGCTAGTGAAGAACATGGCAACCTTCCTGCTTTCGATTGTGTCAACATTAGCACACTGTAGGGGAGATTTTCAAATGCACATAGGATTTCCATGTACCTATTCTTTGTGCCTTTAAAAATCTCCCTCTAAATCTGTGCTCTGTGCACTGCACTGTCTTTCTATCAGTTTGGGGTGCTATTGACTCTAATCTTCAAAGGTCTGCCTGCCTGATTTTCAGAAGTGGTGAGCACCCACAACTTGAATTAAAGTTAGTAGGAGCTGCGGATGCTCAGTGCCCTAAAAATCTGTCCCTATGTGGTGTAGGACCCTCTACCTTAGGCACCACCTCTCCCTATCATTCCTTTATTTCATATATTTTTATCATTGCCTCTCTTATTCATCTGGGCTGTAATGTAAATAGTCCCACTCTCTTCAGTCTCTCGTTATATGGTAGTTTTTCCATTCTCTTAATCATTTTTGTTGCTATTTCCTAACTCCCCTCTATTCTGCTATATTTAGAGGGCTTTCCCTTCACCCTCTCCCCTGGTTCTTGTCATGCGGACAGAAAGCAGAAGACCAGAAGGCTGAAGTGTAGACAATGCAATGTTTACTGGGGTTAGTTTCCAGCAAATGTGTTCCATAACTCTGATGCTGCAAAGCCTTGTTTCCCAGTGTCTCATCTCCCCCTCCCCCCCGGAGGCATAATTATACCAGAAATGCATGCCCACAGTCCCAGCCCTTACAACTTAGGGTCATGTTCCATTTTGGGTCTGGGGTCTTCATCCCACCTCTTTTGTATCCTATGGCAGGGGTAAGGAGTGAGGTTGTGCCCAGGGACAGGCATTTCTTTGGTCTGTTAGTGTTTTATACCTTCCCCCCAAACCCCTTTGCCCCTCCCGACTGCTTGTTTGATTTTGCCTTGAGATGGGGTTGAGGCAGTCTTAAAATGTGCTCTGAGTAACACTTTAACTGCTCTTATCTATTCCCATTGTACTAACAAATCCATCTGACTAGGCAGAAGCAACATCACAGTGTCTTTGTCCTTTATTTACACATATTAGTATCAGAGTATCAAAAAGTCAAACTCAAAATTCTATCCCAGGCTAACAAATAGACCTATATGCTAACAGTTATCTATCCCATTTCTTATCCATCTTAACATTTTTGTTTATTTTTTTGACCAGCGATGCACATTGAGCAAAGATCTTCATTGTGCTGTCCACACTGATGACTAGGTCTTTTTCCTGCGTTGATACAATTCATTGAGAACCTAGTATTGAGTTTTTCAAATTATTCCCTCCTGCTGTGTGCATTACTTTGCATTTATCAACACTGAATTGTTTTTGCCATTGAGCGTCATATCGGTGATACAGTATCTGAGGCTTCACTTACTGATTGGCCAGCAGGGAGTGCCATGGAGTAATCAAGCAAAGTGGCAAGTTCACTCTTTTTTGGACTATAATACCAGAAAAATGTAGAAACACTGGAAGATGTTCAGAAAAGGCCCACAAGAAATGACTAGAGGACAGGAAGTTTAACTTAAGAAAGATGAAGAGAACTAAGTACACCTTATAAAAATGCTGGGTCTGACTCTGCTCTAACTTACACTCGTGTAAATCAGGTGTGACTCCATTGAAATCAATGGAAGTACACCATTGGGGAGCCAGTATACATGAGAGAAGAATCAGTTCATTCTGCCTTCTCACCCTGCTGTCTCCAGACCTCCTCCTGTCCTGAGCTACAAAGGATAGGAAAACCTTTGGACTTGACTCAAAATTTCTATTATCTTAAGCCCTTTCCTCCCTTTTGAGACCTTTTCATGGCAGTTTCAAGCCTTTTGGGGGTGCCTTGCTCCACCGTATGAAATTGCTGCCCTGAGCCTTAGTGGTCTCAGGCTACCTTAAAAATGTCTTGGAGCATTTGGCAGCTGAAACAGGTTACAGCTGCTTTCATGATCCAAAATTGATGTGCTTATGTAAACAGAGGGTTAAGTAATTTCAAAGAAGAAAAGTTATCAAATTTTACCATAGGATTTACTTATTATTACAAAGTGAATCCAGTCAAGGCCAAAGTAGATCTTAAAATGCAACTTCGGAGCTTTGCTTATATTTTCTTCCCCCATTCATCCCTGCCTTTAGCTCTCATATTTTACTCCTCCAGGGCTACACAGACGGTATTTTTCCTACATCCCATATGTCCAAATCCTACATAAAGATGTTTAGCTCAAATGTCATGCATGTGAAATGCTCCACAGCCTCCTTCATAGAAAGTATCAAAAACGTCTTTGCAGTGAGTCATCCATAGCTAAAGAGGAACTGAGGGTCTTGTAGTAATATTAAAAAAGAGAAAGTGGCTCAGAGCTAATAGAGTTTGAGACAGAAGAGAAAGCACAAATGCTTCCCAACTATTGAGAAAATAGAGGCCATGATTGGAGGATCAGATCAGTTGTGGATGTCAAAGGCAAGTGGACAAAGTGTGCAGAGCAACCAAGAGTGTGGACCTGATTCACTAGCATAACACTGGTGTAATGAAGTAGAGAAACTCCTTTGACTTCAGCAGAGTAACACTGGGGTAAAACTAGCTTACAGAGAACCAGGGCCTGTGTTTTCAATTGAATACAGAATGCGAAAATAAAGGATAATAAGGGTTAAATGGTCTTGCTTTCTGAAGTGAGACAGTAGAATGGCAGCAGTGTTCAGGGCCCCCTGAAGTTTAAGGGAGTGAGGATGTCATTAGACCATAAAAGAGAATTGCAGTTAATTAGACAGGAAATTATTTTAGGCATAAATAAGGATTTCAGCAGCAGCACAGTCAAAGTTAGGGTGGATTTTGGCAATCTTCTGTGGGTAGTGACAGGCAAGATTTGAATTCTGAGGTGATGTGTGGGAGAGGAGGTAAGTTCAGTGTTATGGATGACGTCAGAGTTCTGGCTTTAGGTGCAATGATAAGCTCTGAATAAAGGAGCATGAAAGCAGAAAGAGGGACTTCATCCCCTTGACATTTCAGCCTTTTAAAAAATGAAGCAGTAGGGAAGTTAGTGTTATAGTCAGGGAATGACAGTCAAGAGAGGCAGTTAGAGAGATCAGCAATTGTGAGTCAAGGACATTGTTACCTTAAATGTCTTTCCCCATAAAGGTGATGTCCAAGGCTAGAGCTACCAGTGGTATCAATGGAGAAGAGGAAAGAGCCAAAGACTGAGAACTAAATTGTGCCTTTAAGGCACAGCACTACAGTTGGGGCATACAGGAGCTCCATCAATCGTTTGTAGGATATTGCACGCAATGTTCTTCTGTGCTTGGTCAGCTCCACTAGCTGGTGTTCGGACGGGTGGGGTCTTGGCTCTGTTATCAGCCACCAGTGGTAGCCTAGCAGAAGCTCCACCCTCATTATGTTGTGCCCCCATGCATGGTGAAGGAGGGATGCTCTTTTGTCCTCTTCCCTATGTAAGGCCATACGTAATATGGCCATGAGTCTTGAGGCCTTTCATACCAATGGGATGAAAAGAAGTAAAGTCTCCATCAGCAATGGAAGTGGAGAGACACTGGCCTTCCTGTCTGATGCATTCAAGAAGATGTTTGCAGTGTTGTTGTAGCTGTGTTAGTTCCAGGATATTAGAAAGACAAAGTGGGTGAGGTAATTTATTTTTCTGGACCAATTGGACTCAAGAAGTGTCGTTGATAGGTAGTACTGAAAGCCACACTGAGGAAAGAGAGTAAGATTAGGGTTACCTAGATATGTCAGAATTGGGCGGGAGAAGTGGTTAATATGCCTCTTTTAAATCTACAGAGGAGGATTCTCACGGACAACCCAAGAGAAGGCGCATTCGAAGGAAGAAACGAAAGAACACTGTTGGAAATCCTGATAATTTACATGGAGAACAAACAGAATCTGGGAAGCATGAGACTCTGTTTCAAGATAATTTACAGCTGCAGCAGACAGACGGCACAAAAGTTAGCAAAAACAAAAAGAGGAAAATGAAAAAGAAACGACAAAAAGAAAAGATGAAAGCAGCTGGCATGCTAACAAAAACCACTGGTGTGGATTTTACATATCAGCCTGAGAAGGACAACAGTGAAAGAGCAGACTTTAAAGACATATATGAAAAAGCAGATGGCATTCTGGACTTCTTGCAGGCAACACAAGAAATCTATTTTGCTGACAGTATGTACCAACCTTTTTTTCCCCCCAGTAACAATAACAGCTTGAAATTAGGGAAAAATATGCTTATTATTTCTATATAAAATGGGCTATATCCATTGCTAGTATAACTGCATTGAAGTCAGTAAGGGCTGCAAGTGCATAGCACTTCTAAAACTCAGTTCCCCTTTTTAGGTCTCTAAATATGCAAATAGGTACCCAGATGTAAAAGATGAGATCTCTGGTTCCCCATCTTTACAATGTGTACAATATTTTATAATGCATTTTGTGAACCTTGGATAAAAAGTGCTAAATCATCCAAATTTTTTTTTCTTCTGTGAATGAACATCTAGATGAATTGCTTGATGTCAGAAACATTCAAATTAGAGAAGTAATTGCTGTTCTAATCTGAGTTTTCTTGTCCTTATCTTCCAACCTATTTTTCTGGAAGCCTCCCCCTTCTCCAGTGTCTGATTCATTTGTGATGTACAGGGAGAGCTACAATGACCTTCCAACTCACCAATCACCCAGAGGAAATGGGGAAGCACAGTAGGAGCTTTACTGGAGGGCCTAAGGATCTTGTGGATGAGATGCATAGCTGAGGTTTTAGTAACCTGTGGTCATTAAAGATGCTGTAGCACCTTTCAAAAGACTATCAAGGTGTTAGATCTGATGTCCTATTATATTCTAATTCAGGTGACTAGGATCAGGCAGATCCCTATTGTTTCAAGTGGATACAATATTCTTCCCTTGTCCTCCTACTAAAGTATTGTTCTATGGCACTTCTGTCATGAATCCACTTCAGAAGTGACTAGTGATGAGTGAAGTGACTTAATTATGGGTGAAGTGATTCCCTGTGCATATTCTATAGCAATTTAGTATAATGAAGAATGGAACATGCTTTGTAAGTCCAAAATACTGTTGTTTACCTTGTTGGGATCCAGAACATAGCTTTAAAACTGGGACATGTAATGTCACCTTTTCACAACTCACAGCTTTGACATTCCCGGTGAAACTATGTGGAGAATTTTAAATAGTTTGCCTGCATATAAAATGTCCATCATAAGCCAAAGCTGTCAGACCCCAGTCTCATAAAATTCACCTTTAAGGTATAGAGCTTTTTTGAAAATGACTGTAAAAATGGCATTTTGGGAATTCATATTTATTTTTTCCTCAATGATTTTCAGATAAAATTTGTTCAGTTTACACGTAAAAAGATGTCTACTCTATCTCAGGTCTGTATATTAAGGGCATGTCTTCACTAGTAACATTATAGCGCTGCTGCCACAGCGCTTTAACATGACTGTGTAATCACCGCACCAGCGCTGGGAGAGAGCTCTCCTAGTGTTGTAAAAATACCACCTCCACAAGGGGAATAGCTACCAGCACTGGGAGCGCAGCTGCCAGCGCTTGTGCACTGTCTACACTGCCACTTTACAGCGCTGAAACTTGCTGTGCTCAGGGGGGTGTTTTTTCACACTCCTGAGAGAGAAAGTTGCAGCGCTGTAAAGTGGCGGTGTAGACAAGGCCTAAGCCTGTTATATGAAAGCCAAACACAGTTTTTTCAGGCTCATATGTTGTCATCAGTAATAAAGATTTTGCAATTAGAATTTATGACTAAATTACGCTCTTGTTTAAATCGGTGTAAATCCAAAGTAACTCAAGTGGCCTTAACAGAGTTACTCTAGAATTACACTGTTGTAATTAGGAGTATGTCTAAATTTGAGCTGGGAGTTGTGATTCAGACCTGTGTACCCACCCAGACACCTTAGATACATACTCAGGCAGCTAGCCCAAGCTGCTGCCTATGCTACCCCAGTTACACTGTTATTTTCATCATGCTAGCTCGAACAGAGCTAGTGCAGGTATATCTACGCAAGCTGAGACACTCACCTCCCAGCTCAAATGTACCCTGAGAGTAGAATTTGACTCTTAGTTAACAATTCATTGAGCCAGAATGGAATCCTGTTCACTTTTCCACAGCTGTGTTGGCTGCACAGTTCTAACAAAAAGTATTCAGACTGTCAGTTTCCAAAATAGGCAAAGCTAAATTCTGTCAGTGATTGACAGATTGGCCCTAACTCCAAAGCTGCAGAGCAGACAGTAAACCCAACATGGACCTGGTTATTCACAAAAGAGAAATTGTCAGGCAAAAGCAAATCTATGTTATGGATTATATGTCACATCTACATATCAAGGTATGACTAACTTGCCTGTTAGGCAAACAGGGGTTTATATATAGATCTGAAATTATGCTGTTTGCTTTTATCACAAACTTTCTCATTGGGTACCTTACCACCCCACTTCCCTCCCCATTTTAGATAACATTGGAAGTCACTGCTTTCAGCATCATTTACCAATGGCCACATTGCATTATACCTTTATATTTCTGTTAGAAAGATTAATGAGGAGGAATCTAAACACATTGCTAACAATTGTTTTTATTAGAAAAGCTAACTTTAAAGAAAGCCTGTCTAGAGAGGGTTTATAGGGACAAACCATTCAAAGGTACTGGAATTGGAGAAGTTAGGAGAAGCAACAGCACAGTATGAAAAATGATAGTTTCCTTTTGAGTTTTATTGCATGCTATAATATATATGTTTTAAAGCATAAATATTAATACGCAGGAATAAGATAACCAGTTGTCTCCCAAAATGCTTTACAGCAGACCCTCTCTCTCTATATGTATATCTATAAAAATATGTTTGTGTACTCTACACAGACACGTGCTTTGACTATAGTACAGTTTTTTCCTTAGTCCTTCCTACTTTATCATAAATCACAATTGTTTTTATTAGAAAAGCTAGGTGGTGAGTTTAGATTTCTCACAATTCATTGGTAGTCCTATTGGCATATTCTTTACTTTTCATATTCAGCGTCTTCCTGCCTATCATGTTATTTTAATATCTAAGAAGAAATAGGCTGCATGTCAGTACAGCATAGTATTGGTTTTAAGGAAGTGTACATAAAAAGGAAGGAAATGTATTTTAAAAGTAAAGGTAATTAACAAATTTTCAATAAAAATGGAGCAAGTTCCTACATTTATTTGGTGTTCTTTGTTCAGATAAATCAAAATGCACAGATTCACCTATGAGTTCAGCAACCGTCCAAGAGATTTTACAACATCTTGAATCTCACAGCATGGCTTCCTCAGATGTGACACTTCTACATCAGATGAAATCCCTTGTACTTTTGCAGGATACTGAGAGATTGAAGGGCATTTTGGAACAATTCCAAGAACATTCCATGATGCTGCCTGGTAGGTACAGTTTACTCCTCATACTGCTGATGTTCTTCTCAACATTTAGAAATGTTCAAATATTCAAATTTGTCATGATTCTCATACAGAGATAAAACAGTAACTAAATAACTACACAATGGTGAAAGTAAGAGTATTACAAGATTATGAAAGCATCATTCTTCACAAGGAAGACATTAATTTGCCTTTGGGGGAGGAGGGGTTATGATTGATATGAAACCACAGCAGAGGCCAGTACTGCAAGGTGCTGAGTGTCCTCAGCTCCCAAAGAAGTTAGTGAGAGGTGAAGGCTCTCAGAATTGCATAGGAAGAGATCAACTATTTGAATAGGTTTAGTTCCTGTTTCTTCTCAATGCTTAGAATAAGAGACCAGCATTGTGAACTATACCTATACCATTGTATATAGTGTTTTAAAGTGTCTTGAAAAGTAATGAGTAAGATAGTGGTAGTTGTGACCTATCAAGGTACAATTCAAAGTAATAAGTAGTTGCGTCATCCCTGCCGTTTAATCTGGGGTGCCCTTTCCAGTGTCTTGCTGCTGTAGTGGCCAACCTGGACTGCTCACAAACAGCCTCCAGCATGGAAGTCAATCCCAGCGATGTCTATGTGAGCTGCAGACAGCCAGCCACACCTTGATTCTTACCAGACTTAAAAATTACCACAGGGTGACCCCAACACAGTCCTAGTCCCACATTTCCCCCCAGAAACATGTCCTGTACTGCCCAGCCCTCTCCTGGACAATACAAATATATTAAGTCCATTATTCGTTTTAGGAAATAAGATGCATATAACTTGTTACCCCAAATGGAGTTACCCAGATGCTTCAGCTTGAACACACTGGATGAGATAAAACAATAAAACAAGTTTATGTAACTACTTCTTTCTTTGTAGTTAAACAAAAATAGAGATAAAAAGCTTACTGGTACCTAACTTAACAAACTATATTAGATTCAAAGCAAAGTTTTTTCACTACATGCTTCAGCAGTCTTACTGGCCAAACTCTTTAGGTCAGGACCCCTCTCCCAGACTCCAATGCCTGCTTCCTTTGTCTTTTCTAGATGTAGTGAATGTGATGGTCTAGTAGAGAGAGAGAGAGAGGGGTCCCTTGTACTGTTTTTCCCTCCCTTTTATAGTTTCAGTCCCCCTCTTGAAAAACATTTCCAGCTGAGACGCAGGAGACAAAGGGTCTATGTGGAAAGATATTCCTCACTGGGTTGTTTTTTTCACCTGTTTGAACTTCCTTTGTTTTCCCTCCCTGTTTGATGACTCTATTCACTGCTTAAATGCAATTTAAGGCAAGCATACAGGACCAATCCACACAAGCGGTCCATTTCCTGGACACTACTGTGCTAATAAGCGATGGTCACATAAACACCACCCTATACCGGAAACCTGCTGACCGCTATACTTACCTACATGCTTCCAGCTTCCATCCAGGACGCACCACACGATCCATTGTCTACAGCCAAGCTCTAAGATACAACCGTATTTGCTCCAATCCCTCAGACAGAGACAAACACTTACAAGATCTCTCTCAAGCATTCTTAAAACTATAATACCCACCTGCTGAAGTGTAAAAAACAGATTGACAGAGCCAGAAGAGTACCCAGAAGTCACCTACTACAGGACAGGCCCAACAAAGAAGATAACAGAACGTCACTAGCCATCATCTTCAGCCCCCAACTAAAACCTCTCCGGCGCATGATCAAAGATCTACAACCTATCCTGAAAGACGATCCCTCACTCTCACAGATCTTGGGAGACAGACCTATCCTCGCTTACAGACAGCCCCCCCAGCCTGAAGCAAATTCTTACCAGCAACCACACACCACAGAACAAAAACACTAACCCAGGAACCAATCCTTGCAACAAAACCCGATGCCAACTCTGTCCACATATCTATTCAAGTGACACCATCTTAGGACCTAATCACATCAGCCACGCCATCAGGGGCTCGATCACCTGCACATTTACCAATGTGATATGTGCCAGCAATGCCCCTCTGCCATGTACATTGGCCAAACCGGATAGTCTCTACGCAAAAGAATAAATGGACACAAATCTGACATCAGGAATCATAACATTCAAAAACCAGTAGGAAAACACTTCAACCTCTCTGGTCACTCAGTAACAGACTTAAAGGTGGCAATTTTGCAACAGAAAAGCTTTAAAAACAGACTCCAATGAGAAACTGCTGAACTGGAATTAATTTGCAAACTAGATACCATTAACTTGGGCTTGAATAGAGACTGGGAGTGGCTGGGTTATTACACAAATTGAATCTATTTCCCCAGGTTAAGTATCCTCACACCTTCTTGTCAACTGTCTGAAATGGGCCATCTTGATTATCACTACAAAAGTTTTTTTTCTCCTGCTGATAATAGCTCATCTTAATTAATTAACCTTCTTACAGTTGGTATGGCAACTTCCACCTTTTCATGTTCTCTGTATGTATACATGTCTTCTTACTATATGTTCCATTCTATGCATCTGAAGAATTGGGCTGTAGCTCACGAAAGCTTATGCTCAAATAAATTTGTTAGTCTCTAAGGTGCCACAAGTACTCCTATTCCTTCCTTTGTTTATGAACTGACTTCTGCCTGGGCAGGGCTGTGGGGTTTGGAACAAGTGTTAACAACATCATATAGGGGAATCTTGTAACTTCACATACAATGTTGCCACACATATTTTACCAGGACAGAACTGACCAGCAAATTATTTTTCGAATGATACTTTACAAGCATACTTTGTACAAAGATTATTACAATAGAGCAGAGGTTCTCAACCTATTTATCATTGTGGGTCACATATGCAGCTCTTTGTGTTATGTGGGCCACATCCACACCATATAAAAATACTACCTTTATGGCCCTGAGGATGTCATATGGACCACAGCTGTGTGCTGATTGGGCCACAGTTGGCCCATAGGCTGCAGGTTTAGAACCATTGCAATAAAGTTTAGGGTGTGAATACAAGGGTGTATTCTGTCCTAGTAGTGCAGTAACCGAGTAAGCGAAAACAGTAGTCATTGGATACCTGACAGTAACTCCCATAAAGGACTGGGCATTAGAACCTACTATAATTATATATGATTGTAACACACAAGCCCCCAGTAGGGTTTGGAGCATCATTGTCCTGCCCTGAAGGGTTTACAGTCTGAGGCTATTAACCAGAACTCAGCTATTATTCCCCAATCTTTCAAAAAGTACATTTGAAATGTTTCAATATTTGAAGACCTGGTGGGTTGACAGTGCATCTGCATGTGGAATAAAATCCATGTCTACAATAAATGTAAAGAATCATCCTTCACTCTGATCACAGGTGAACTGCCTAAAGTTGGAGCTGGAATTTTAGGGCCAGATTCTGCAACCCTTAAGTACATTGTGTTATCCCACTGATTTCAGAGTAAATACTCACAAAGGAAAATACAACTCGGCGTTAATAGGGGTAACAGAATTGGGCCTTTAATAAAAGGCCTAATTCAGCATCCATTAAGTCAATGAGAAGTGAGAGTTGAGTCATGTGCAAAGTCATTTTAGTCACTGGGCGTATGACACAGAACCCATTGAAGTTAATTATCAGAGGGGTAACCGTGTTAGTCTGAATCTGTAAAAAGTAACAGAGGGTCCTGTGGCACCTTTAAGACTAACAGAAGTATCGGGAGCATAAGCTTTCGTGGGTAAGAACCTCACTTCTTCAGATGCATCTGAA